GATAACTTGTTTTTGAATAATCACGGCAAGCAATAGTTTTTTTTGTCTCACACAACGATATTGTTTAGCTTCATTTGATTATCAAGTCAAACACAGTGTAGTATGGAGAAGAATAAATAATCACTATTATCATTGTTGATATGCTCACTAACCTAACATTTTGCACGACTTGTTCCTATAGCTGGCAGTGGTTCGGTATTCGCCATTAGAGCACCTGGTCCATACACATATATGTCACTCTGTGGTTGTATTTATATTGAAACTACAATTCGAACATCCTTGAAAACCTAACCTGCTGTTAAAGCAGGTAGAATATTCTCACCACACGGATTATTTGTCAATATTTGTTGCACTGCATACATATGGCACGGCATTGGTGGTAACTTCACATGTTTATTTGAGTTAATTGTTTCGGTTACAGAAAAAATTGCATGTTTCATTCGGATCAAAAGTGACTTTGTTCGACTCGCAAATTTTGCTTTCGCTCGGCTTCGCTTAACGCTCCGCCTCGCAAATGCAAAATTCGCTTGTCAAACAAAGTGTCACTTTTGATCCTAATAAAACAATCTACTATTTTTTCGTTATGCATCCTCCTTTCATACTTACTTCATACTTGACATGACTCAAAATGAGAAATTATTGTTTACAAACTTGATAAAAAGAGAGTCTTCATCACTGACATAATTACTACCTAGATCGACTTGTGTCCCAGCTAGAACTTGTCACCCCCCTTATCTCCGAAGTCGTTAAAAAAATTGAAAATCGCTGGAACAGGTCGATTTAAATTTAGCGGGGACACATTTTCCTGCCATTATCATATTCCAAAGTTGAAACTTTGAAACGTAACGGGCATCTACTTTCGATTTTCAAATACAACACCCTGTATTTAATTGCATCTTTATATTCTCCCTTGAGAGCTGATTAGGGTCTAGCATGAATGATTACAGAGATATAGGGTTTTCAAAAACCATATTTTTCAACTTGAGGATTTTTTTTGGCGAAACTATGCATTATCGGTCAAAGCGGCTTCTTTGTCCCTATAGTTAACTTTTAATTTACTATCTTCTGCCATATAATTGGAACAAAGTCAGGGTGATCAGAATTCTGAATATTGAACACCCTGTATTCGTTACAATTAAATGTCAGTAGATAGTAAATAAAAAGTCGTTTCGACCGATAATGAATAGTTTCGACACAAAAAAATCCTAAAGTTGAACAATCTCGATTTTGATACATTGATGAAATCAGCTCTTGAGGAAGAATCTAAAGACGCAATTTGATACAGGGTGATCCATTTGAAAATCGAAATTTCTGGCAAATTGCTAGCCTGAAAAAGCTTCTGCTCATTGCGAAGAAACCCCCAAGATGTTAATCACGACAGCGAGTCTTCTCTCTTATTGGTGTTTGGAAAATAGTAGATTGTTTTATTAGGATCAAAAGTGACACTTTGTTTGACAAGCGAATTTTGCATTTGCGAGGCGGAGTGTTTAGCGAAGCCGAGCGAAAGCAAAACTTGCGAGTCGAACAAAGTCACTTTTGATCCGAATGAAACATGCTATTTTTTCTGCAACCGAAACAATTAACTCAAATAAAGATGTGAAGTAACCACCAACGCCGTGCCATATGTATGCAATGCAACAAATATTGACAAATAATTCATGTGGTGAGAATATTCTACCTGCATTAACAGCAGGTTATGTTTTCTAGGATGTTCGAATTGTAGTTTCAATATAAATACAACCACAGAGTGACATATTTGTGTGTGGACCAGATGTTCTAATGGCAAATACCGCGCCAGTGCCAGCTATAGGAACAAGACGTGGAAAATGTTAGGTTAGTGAGCATATCAACAATGATAATTGTGATTATTTATTCCTCTCCATACTACACTGTGTTTGATTTAATAATCAAATGAAGCTAAACAATATCGTTGTTTGAGACAAAAAACTTTTGCTTGCCGTGATTATTCAAAAACAAGTTATCCATCCCGAGAATAACGAATGAAATACAGATCAAGCAAGTATTTGAATCTTGGAGGCTTCCATGATCAAAACGAAAATACTTAACTGAGAAGTTTATAATTCCAATACTAAACTATAATAAGGTGTATTTATATCTCCAGCATGGGTATGAAATGCCAAATCTGCTGAAATCGGAAACAAATCAGGTATGCGTCTCAACCCAAATAACAAACCGTCACAATGTTGTTTATTCTTGATGACCTCCAGTAGATCCTTTTTAGTTCCTAGGAGCTAAAGTTCAACTTTAGCTCCTAGGAACTAAAATTCAACTTTAGCTCCTTGGAACTAAATATGTTGCCTAGCAACATACCTATTTTTGTGTCAGTAATAGAAACGTCAATTTAAGAGCTAATTTTGGTATCAAAATGGACGACTTTTGTGTCGGTTGCAGAAAAAGTATATTGATTAACGAGCACGGAATGATAAAGTCATTTCCCACGAGCCAGGAGAATGAAGTTTACAGCATGAGCCGCAGGCAAATGCTGCAATCATTCGAGTGGGAAATTAGGATTCCGTGCGAGTTATACACTACAATTTTAATACGGCTGTAACAGATAACAGCGGCATTTCTGATTTCTTCGTCTTGTAGCCATCTGATTTCCTGTCAAGTAATACTCATCTATTAGACAGAGCTGTCATTGCTTGAAATATGACATTCCATGAGCGATGAGATTTTTTTGAAATAATAACACAATGACTCCACATTGTGATATCAGATAAGAAAATGAAATTGATGACATACATACAAAAGCTAATTTGTGTTATAGCTTTACCACCGATACAACAAGGCCTGCATGCTCCGTGGGTGACATACTTAGTGAGGCCTAACCAGCGGCTCGAAACGACAAACGCTTATAGCGCTATAAGGCGACCGCGTATTTCGATTTTAGTTTTAGATCATCATTGAGCTGATTTTGCTGTTTTTTGAAGGGCTTCCGGTTAAAAAAGGATGCCAGTGGTCAACCGAGCCCTTCTTCGCACCCCATTCGATTTTAATATGGAAAAACGAAGTTTTTAAGCAAAAACCAGGATAAAACACAAATATCCACCTACAGCAACCCATTCGAATTAAATATATTGGCAAAAATTGTGGTGAAGGTAAACTTCACACCTACTTATACAGGGCCCGCAGAACATAAACTTATCGTGAAATTGATCGAAAGAAAATTGTGGAAAATGTATTTTATTTTGATTGACATGCCGTTTGTTACAATTACCTATATTTATCTTGGAGAATTCCTATTACCTGAAAAAATAACCAGTGAGTGTTTTCAATTTTCTGTTGTTGGATTTTTCACCCAAGTGGATCGTTACACTTGAGACCGTTATTTTTAAGTGTAAAACTGCATTTATCATGCGATGTTTTTTTTTTAATTTTTTTGGGTACTCACGTATTTTTGTCTGATAAACCGAATTTTATAATGAAAATGTGAACAAACCACTATTTTTTGAGATATTTCAAGAAAAAGTTCGAAATTTCGCCTTCTTTCTCCCCTTGTGTTGGGGGCATTTGAAGCTACTTGCTCTTATTTTGTCATTGGACACTTTATATACTCATGATGTACTTCGATGGCACATTTTCATATAGAAAATTCAACAGGAAATATGATTTTTATGGCGAGTTTTTCCTATTTAGTAAACAAGCATTCCAGATGACGACCATTTAATCAATAGTCAATCAAAATACGAGATGTCAAATGTCAATAGATTGCTTTCGAATGACATTACACACGCCATTATTTTGAATGATATTTTTCCTTCTTTTCACTAAATATGAATTAATCTCAAGAAAATCATATTTATAGTTGAATTATATATAAATTGTCCAATATGATGAAAAAAGAAGGGAAATTTGTTCTAAATGCCATCCAGAAGACAGGTGAAAAAGAAGGTGAAATTTGGAACTTTTCAGTCAAATATCTTCATGATAAATATCATGATGAATGCAGTTTTACCTTTTTAAGTAGAGTGTTTGTAGTTCATGTTAATATGATAGTTGCAATTTGATCATTGGAATGAATTCTGCATTCATTGCCACGAGGCAAATGACCGTTTTCAGAAAGAAATTTGAGAATGAGAATTAAAAATGCCCGTTTATTATGAACATTCAAGAAAATTTCCTCGAATTCAGAGATGATTTTGTCGACTATAATATACGAATACAAAACTAACTGCACAATCGAAGCTTTTCTATTTTTCCTCTACTTATACTTTTTATGAGAGAGTAATTGTCTTCTATTATTAATTCATCATTATAAATTGAGCTCTGTTTACTACTGAACTTAGATGGAGTAAAATCATCGCGGTGAATTTCATATTTGTACACACATTTTCGATAGCTCCTCGTCCTACGGGAAACTAAAAGCATGAACTTTTGAACCACCCACATAATTCCCCCGACAAAAGGGAACACAACACTTGAAAGGCATTGTTAATTCGCCGATCACAACACAAAATATTTCACAAAACAGTAATTTTTCCGCCAATCATTTTGATGAATAAACAACAAAAGAATTCGGGACCGTTTCAAAAACATACGTGAATCACCGACGAATTAACACAAACTGACGCGTTAGTCGACAAGCGATAAAATAAAACACTGGCCTCACTTGGTGACGTCACGAGCTGTTTACGCCAGAGTCTGCTGGCCTTGTTGTATCGGTGGTAACGGTTATAGCCATAGAAAAACATACATAAGAGTAATATATATGACAGATCCTGAATACGCATGATTCATGATATCCAATCGATCCCGTGAGTGGAAAAGATTATTTCTTATGAGTGAGGGTTGCTGGGCTGTGTGCACGTGTATATATACCAAAGAAGGGGAGTGTTGTATTAATTATCTTGCAGTAGATACAACATTCTTTGGCTTATTGCTTATGACATTAGCGGTCTAGATAGTAGTTTATGTCAGTGATGTGAACGCGCCACTATCCATCAAAATTTGTAGATTTTCGACGTTGACAGATTTTATTATCAATTATATTCTTGTTTTATTTCCACGTATTCTGGATTGTCTGCTTGTAGATCATTATGTTCGAATTCGATCTTGAATTCCTGTTCGACAGCAACACTGTCAAATTCACTTTTCACTTGAGAATCGATGGGCAAACACGAATCCTCTTCATTGGAACATTGTTCATAGAATATATCGCACTCCAAAGGTTTTTCATCGTCGTGCAGAATCTTGTGATGCAGAAGGTTGTGCTGAGCGAAGTTTTTTTCCAAGAAAAACTTACTGGGGCAAATTTCACATCGAAATGAAGGTTTTTCACCAGTATGTACCTTTTTGTGCCAATTCAAGTCTTTTTTCGAGGTAAACTTTTTGTTACAAGTTTCGCATTCGAAAGGCTTTACACCAGTATGCAGAATCTTGTGATTGTTCGATGACTGTTTTGTGGTAAACCTTTGGTGGCAAATTTCACACTCAAAGGGTTTCTCCCCAGTATGCACCTTTTTGTGCTTGTTCAAATTCATTTTCAATGTAAACTTCTTTCTGCAAATTTCACACTCGTGAGTTTCACCAGTATGCGACTTTTTGTGCCTGTTCATGTTCCCTCTCGTTGTGAACTTCTTTTTGCAAAATTCACACTCGAGATGCTTTTCACTATGTAAGTTTTTGTGCTCGTTGAGGTACCATTTTTTCGTAAACTTCTTTGTGCAAATTTCACACTCGTGAGGACTATCACGAATGTGCAAATTTCTACCAGTGTGCAACGTTTTGTGCTTGTTCAAGTTCACTAAAAACTTAATTTTTTTTCTGCAAATTTTACACTCGTGAGGCATATCACCAGTATGCAAGTTTTTGTGCTCGTTGAGGTTCCATTTCTTCGTAAACTTTTTTTTGCAAATTTCACACTCGTGACGTTTTTCCCCAGTGTGCAACTTTTTATGCTCGTTCAAGTGCGATTTTGTCGTAAATTTCTTTTCGCAAATGTCACACTCGTGAGGCTTTTCACCATTATGCAAGTTTTTGTGTTCCTTCAATCTGGCTTTCATCGTGAACTTCTTTTTGCAAATTTCACACTCATGAGGCTTTTCACCAGTATGCGACTTTTTGTGCTCGTTAAAGTACCATTTCTTCGTAAATTTTTTATTGCAAATTTCACACTTGTGACGTTTTTCACCAGTGTGAGTTTTTTTATGCTCGTTCAAGTTCTGTTTTGTCGTAAATTTCCTTTCGCAAATGTCACACTCGTGAGGCTTTTCACCAGTGTGCAACTTTTCGTGATCGTTCAAATTCCCTTTCCTCGTAAACTTTTTTTTGCAAATCTCACACTCAAAAGGTTTTTCCCCAGTATGCAACTTTTTGTGCTTGATCAAGTTCCCTTTCGTACTAAACTTATTTTTGCAAATCTCACACTCGAAAGTATTTTCACCAGTATGCAACCGTTTGTGATCGTTCAGTTTATATTTTACAGCGAATCTTCTGTTACAAACTCCACATACATAGGGTTTCTCATTGTTGATTGGTTCCTTTTGTTGGGAATAGTATTTAGATGGATTTTCCATGTTTTCTCAGAAATATTCGTGTAGCAAAAACAGGAACGACAAAAATTTCGACTGAACTGGACACTTTCCAAACACCAGGAACACATGCTATCACAATTTCAGGCTGGTCATCTTTTTTGGAAGTAGAATAAATGCCAAGACAATTTGGAACGCTGATATAATATGAATTCTGACGTCGTAAACCGCACTGTAAGTAGGAACCTGCAAGAAAACAAACAATATCAACTTTTTGCAATCCCCATTACATTTATTGTTTATCTTATTGATACACGCCAATTCCAAGAACCAATAAGATTTCTGCAATTTCGTAAAACCTAAGAGCTACCTTGCTTTTTCAATAACCGATAAAAATATGCACCTTGCTTTTGTTATAAGTGATATCTTTCAATCTGAATTAACTGAAATATTTCAGAGTAATAGTCGAGTGATGTTAGATCTGGGGACCTAGCTGGCCACCCAATGGGCCCCCTATGAGCCAGTTTTCTCATACTCTCAAAACAGAGACCAATCAAAACAGTAAATAATTTCTGATAGAAGTCCATGTTAGCTCAAAGTGGAGAGGAATTTTAAAAAGGAGGAAGGAAAGTTCAACGTCATCTCCTCAACTTTAATGATGACTTACAAAAGTCTATCTTCAGCCGTATTTTAGAAGTAACTACAATCAAAGGCATGTGAAAATATACAAATTGTTATAAAACAAAAAATTGACTTACATGGAGGTGAACATTATATGATTTTTAAAAAGGTTGCCGATGTCGTCTTTCATCATAATATCGTGAATGATGATAATAATGAATAAGTTTTCAAAGGAATAAACGGGTTTTCATTTAAAATGAAGGGTCCGTGTCCTAAGAACGCGCACTTGTAAAATCAAATGTCAAGCCCCAGAATCAGTTGTAAAACAGGAAAAAGGGCCACGTACCCTTGAGAGAGCGCACTTAAAAACCAAAAATCAATTTAGAATTGATGGGGCCAAAAGCCAAAAACGTGTTGAATTCAACTTAAGGTTAGAAACACGGAATTAAATAAATGGTCCATGACATAAGTTAAAGTCTTGATGAAACGATAGTATGACAAGTGGCATAGAACACAGGATCAAAGTAAACACTGGGATGAATGTGAATTCAACTAGTGCATTTGCTTGTAGTAACTTCTAAAATACGGCTGAAGATGGTCTTTTATAAGTCCGAAACATGTTCCGTTGATTGACTACATCATTATTAAAGTTGTGGAGATGACTTCGAGCTTTCCTTCCTCCTTTTAAAACAGTAAATGTTCATAAATAACAGATAAGTACACCTGGTTACCTCATTGAAGCACACGAAACGAAAAATGCACACAAAAAAATATTTTCTATATATTTTTTTTATCTTCTGGTTCCAACGAAAAGGGATATCCTGTAATATATTCCAACTAAATATCCTGCATGAAATGTCATTTGAAATATATTTGAATGTCCTTTCAAAAGAAGTATCACTCGACCCCATGTTCCATTTGAAATTGTGAGTGTTCGTCCCACCCTTCCTAGTAGGTTGCAGTTGCAGTGTTAAAAATAGACTATACAAATATCCCCCTTGACAAATCTATTTATGTGAACGGGCGATTTTTCTGAAATGAACGTGGAATCATATATTTAGTAAGTTTCCTGGTGAGCCCTGTATATTCAATATTCTGATATTTCGATCAAAGCCTAAGTATAGAGATTACTCGTTCTACAAGTTTTTCCATTAATTTCCAAAATCAATAATGTGAAATATTCAGATAGACACTGTGTCCAAGATAAGGATGTCTATCATGGGGGTCTTTTCTATTTTTTTCTGAGGTTATTTAAATATACAGGGTGATTCAAAAGTAAGCGGCATCCTTTCAGAGGCGTATTCCTTGCTTGAAAATAAGGCAAAAAGTTCCTATTGATAAGGATCCGAAAATGCTTCCTAAGGGAGCTACGGCCCTTTGAATAGGACACCTCAAAGACGGTTTTTTCTCTATAACTTTAAAATCCTTCACAACAAATTTTTAAAAATTGGTGTACGGCATAAACATTCGATGGTAAATAGGACTCCGTATTCGAAATTTCAGAATTTCATTCAGGGGCGTCACATGCGGGAGAGGGTAAGTGTAAAAATATCCCTTCTTCTCCGGATATTCAGGTTACTGTGATTTCGTTTGGAAATTATTTCGAATACGGAGTCCTATTTACCATCGAATGTTTATGCCGTACACCAATTTTTAAAAATTTGTTGTGAAGGATTTTAAAGTTATAGAGAAAAAACCGTCTTTGAGGTGTCCTATTCAAAGGGCCGTAGCTCCCTTAGGAAGCATTTTCGGATCCTTATCAATAGGAACTTTTTGCCTTATTTTCAAGCAAGGAATACGCCTCTGAAAGGATGCCGCTTACTTTTGAATCACCCTGTATATAGGAAAACAAGAGTGAGCTCTATACAAAACAGCGTTGGGAGATTTTCCAAACGACGTTTCTCTTCGTAGGAACCTTCATCAATGTTACCCCATGATAGACATCCTTATCTTGGATACAGTGTATATCAGATTCATATTGACTGAGACGTATTCAAATTACATTGTAATCAAACCACCCCTGGTGATCAGACTCAAAAGTTGTATCAATCAAAATCTAAATGACCAGTTGATTCGCATGGCAACTAATGGAAAAATACCAATACCAATCATTACAAGCGTACAAGCTACTTTGATATGAAGCGAATTCAGAACCGAATTGAGAAAAGAACAAGCAATCCGTGGCCGCTTTTTCTAAAATGTATAACGACTATTAAAAATGAAACGCTGCTGTCGGGTATAGGATATTTTTTATTCGCGAGATTCACGAAGTGGGCGACATCTATGTTACATATTACGAACTTCAAACTAGAGGAAAACAAACTGTTGTCTATGGATAAAGTGCATAGACTACATTGCATTCAGCTTGCTCTGTGGTCAAACTTGTCAATGATATAAAGTGTTGGCACTGTTGGTAGTGATAAGGATGTAGTGATGATGGTTGGGTTGGTTAATTTTTTTACATTATTACATTTTTATTATTTTAGTGAACAGTGAACGGGTGAAGAATTGGAGATAGTTCAAACAATTCAAACTGATTATGACGAGCAAATAACATATAAAAGAACAGCTACAACATGTTTACAATACCCAGATCGTCCTGCTTTGTATGAACAAATACAAATCCATTGTTCTACAGGAGTTCCTCTGGACCCCAACTTCAATTTTACTTCATGTGGGGAAGATTTCATCGCCGAAGTTTGTAGACAAAGTGCAAAAATGTGCCTTTTGTTGAAGTCTTCTGCCTCACACAAAATCACATGATTAGCACGGAGAACTGCTTCTCCTTCCACTACTGGTCGGCTTTTTCCATCTAAATAGAACAAAATATCTGCCAAAAGAACATCTACAACAGGCATTATTAGCGTTTTCGATCGAATATTGACAATTAATGTCAAGAAATTTAAAAACTTATCACTCTTATCAGTACACAATGATGTATGTGACCAAATGTTGGCTTTATTCAACAAAATATAACATAATTAACAGTGACAAATACATTAATTAATGCGACAGATAGTGACACTGTCATGTAAATAGGAACATACAAAGTGATTGAATACCACATTCACCCTTAGTATTAAAAACGACAGTAATTATCCAGATATCTAGGAGATTGTCTTATTCTATCAGAACGCCGGATCATGGGTTCATTTGAATGCGAAGCAGATGATTCTCCTCTTTCTGATATAGATCGTTCAAATATAGTAGGTGAGTCTTCTCTATCAGGACATGTGGACTGCTCTTCCACAGTATTTTGTTCAACTGAATCTCGCTCTATTGGAACATCCAGATGCTCGGTATCATCATGATTTCCTGTAGGAGCAAGATGTTTGTTCGAGACCGTAGTTTCTCGTCCATCGGGTAGCCTGACGTATGAGTAGTCTGGGTTCCCTTCCAATAGCTCAACTTAATCAACGAGAGGTTCGTACTTATTTCGTCGAACTTGTCTTCTCATGAGTACAGGTCCAGGAGTCATCAACCATGAAGGTACAGAATATCCATTAGATGATTTACGATTATGATGAAACATTCGTTCATGTGGTGTTGTATTGGTCGAAGTACATAGAAGTGATCTGATCGAATGTAAAGCCTCTTGCAACACGTCTTCCCACTGAGATATCTTCAAGCCTCTTTTTCGAACAGCCAACTCAATTGTTTTCCAGATAATTCCATTCTGTCTCTCTATTTGTCCATTACCTTCCGGATTGTATGCAGTAGTTCGGCTAGTCGCGATATTTTTGGAATGAAGAAAATCTTTCAATTCTTGTGACATAAAACAAGCACCTTGGTCTGTATGTATGAAACTGGGCATTCCAAATATAGAAAACAGATTCGACGAATTTTTGATGACAGATGCTGAAGATACGTCTCGTGTAGGAAAAGCAAAAGGAAATCTTGAATATTCATCGATTATCGTGAGTAGATATTTATTGTGAGATGATGTCGGCAATGGTCCCTTGAAATCCAATGCTAGTCTTTCAAAAGGGGATGTAGCTTTGACTAGTCGACTCTCATTCTTATAAAATCGTGGTTTGATTTCCGCACAGATTGAACATGAAGTAGTAATTCTTTTAACATCCTCTATTGAGTAAGGCAGGTTTTTGGATCTTACAAAGTGAACCATTCTAGTTATTCCTGGGTGGCATAGAGACTGATGTAAATTATATAATTTTTCTGCAGAACTAAGACTAGAACATATTTTCGATAAATTTTCTGCCCTGGATAGTGTATCAGCAACGGCATTATCCTTTCCTGGTCGATAGATAATATCGAATTTATAACTAGAAAGTTCTAATCTCCATCGTTCAATTTTATCATTCTTTATTTTCCCCGTATGTTTGGTATGAAACATGAAAGATACCGATTTCTGATCAGTTATTAGCCGAAATGCTCTTCCAATGAGAAAATGTCTCCACTTTCGA